TTCATCCAGGCCTAATGACCCAAGGAAAAAAGCATTACCGAGATTGCCTTTGTCCGTGTGCCAACTTGATTGGATTGATGAGATGTGAGCGTGTAAGTATGAAGGTGAGGAGATGGTTCGAAACCCGTATTTTCTTTGTTTATATATTATGCTCACTTTATATGTCCGTATTCACTTTCCTGTGGACGGACTTTATCGCAAGTTACTTTCACTGACCGCATTTTGGAGGTGTCACCACCCGACCTTCAGTTTATGCTTTTCGTTCCCAGATCGGCACTGTTAGGCTTCAACTCGCTCTCCTCGAGGCCGCTGACAAACTCGGCAAAGTTGGTTCGAGGTCGAAAACGAGGCGACAGCGACTGTGGAGCCAATTCGGTGTCATCTTCCCCTCAAACTAATTGTTGGAAATGGCATTTCTTCAAAAAAGTCGCAAGAAGGGCATTCGTAGACTGGCCTTGTGGGGATGGTCGGATTTGTTCGCTAACTTCCCCGGCACACTGTCCCATGACCGTTCCGGATGACCTTTCATCTTTCTCGTCGGGACAGGCATCATCAGAACCATAAAATGGAAGGAATAATGTTTTCTATTTCTGTCGCTGTTTGCCACAAGATAGACAAAATAGCTCAGCGTGGATTCATCAAAGTCGCAGAACGGTGTGCTGAGGAGACCGGACAGAGTCACAATTGTTTAAAAGGAATCTTCACTTCGATTCTGATGAGGCTAATATACCACATCCTTCCACGGGTGTTTTTAGACGAAATGAAAGCAACGCCAACATTAATGTCTTAAAACTAACACACACTTTATCTTCAAATCTATGATGTCACGTTGTTGTTGCTCGGAGGGATTAATCTCTTACCTTGTCTATCTATCTTCGCAGTAGATGTCAACAGAATAAAAGGCTTTAGCCAGCCTAGACAGATTATTTCGATAAGATGTGAAGAAAAACTGTGTCTCAAAGAATTCCTTACTGACATATTGTGGAATGACTCTTCATTTGGAAGGGAAAGTTGGTTAGAAGGAATTAGTGATCTGGCCTCACCGGAAACCGAGAGAGGATTGTCGCATAAGAAAGACTGTTGAATTGTGCGAAAAAGTCATCGGCTCACCATCCTTCGACCCCGATGGAGTGCAAGATTAGGAAGTCTATTGAAATTAACAAAATAGCCAACGTCCTGAAAAGGAGTAATGAGTGTAGCAAATTGAGTATGAACTATTTGTAGCTGTTGGATAGACTTCAGGAAAGGGAGAGAGAGAGGGTGCAGGAATAGCCACTGAACAAGATAAAGATACTGGATTATCCTCGTGTCTGGCTGGGGCAAGCATACTATTGAGCTTACTTTCATTTTCAGTGAAAGTGTTGCGTCAAGAGACTCGAAGGTCGGTTCCACCAAAAGACGACGGCCGATTCCGCTTGACCAGCTGTCGATTGGCTTTACTGGAAGGTTCATGCTGACGTTGTTTCCAAAGTTGATCTGCTTCGATTCCGGTAAAAAGGTGCTAAGCTTTCATCCGTCATATGACGAACATTATCATGGTCAGAACCAAATTCAAGCTAACGAGTCAAGAAGACTCACCGGCAAATCCCTAAAAAGTGAT